CCTAGCTGTCCATTGGATTCGGAAAGATAGGGACACTCGCCGTTGCCTCTTCCTCGTATCTGCCTATGCCCCCACTGACTGCAGTTCAGACGAGGTGAAAGATGAGTTTTACAGAAAGTTTTCGAACCTCCAAAAAGCTAGGCGCTCTGATATAGTATTAATGGCTGGTGACTTTAATGCACAAGTAGGTAGACTAAGTGAAAATGAAAGACACCTAGGTGGATGTTATGATCTCGTTGCTCAGAGAACAGACAATGGTGACCGTCTGTTGCAAGTATGCTCAGACAACCGTCTATTCTTAGCAAACACTAACTTTAGGCATAAGGAAAAGCATCTGTCGACCTGGCGACCTCCAAAGTCGTCTCAACATTGGACCCAACTAGATCACATTGCCATCAGCCACCGATGGAGGGGTTCGATAGAGGACTGTCGCTCGTTCTGGGACACACGTTTAGATTCAGATCATGCCCTAGTGCGAGCGCGTATTTGTTTGAGGCTTACTGGGCGTAGGAAGGACACCGTAAGAAAGCCTGTTAGGGTTTTACTTAATGATAATAAGGCGAAGAATATATATATATTTCTCCTAGTCCATGTCGTCCCATGATGTCTTCATATCCAGTGTTGTCCATGCCAACTTTTGCATTTAGGTCTCCCATCAGAATGGTCAAATCCTTTGGTGAGCATCTGTCAATGATTGACTGCAGCCTTTCGTAGAATTGATCTTTGTCGTCGTCATTATAGTCGTTGGTAGGTGCATAGCATTGGATGACGTTCATTATAATGTCCTCTTTCTTTGTTTTGAAGGATGCTTTAATGATCCTGTGTCCATGAGATTCCCATCCTATTAGTGCCTTTTGTGCTTGTTTGGACAGCATCAGTGCAACTCCTTGTGTATGTGAAGCATTTCCCTCTTCATGACCGGAGTACAACAGCAGTCCCCCTGAAGTTGTCCTACCTGTGTCCAATGCGTTTCACTGATGCCGAGCACCTCGAGGTTGTATCTCTTCATTTCTGTAGCAACTTGAAATAGTCTTCCAGTCTCCCACAATGTACGAACGTTCCATGTACCTAAAAATATGGTTGCTCTGGTTGTGAAAAGGGGCATCGGCCCCTTGACTTCCGAGGGAACTCAGCTTTCATCACGCGACGTCATAATTCTTATTCCAACTCCCAGGGCAGAGTTAAAATGATTTGAATTATTTCCTGTGGTTAGAGTTTTTTGGCAAGTTAGATTATAGTTGGGATGGGGGCCCCAACCCCATGCCTATCCCCTCTTCCGTTATCCGGGCTTGGGACCGGCAGTAGCCCCGAAGGGTCTACAGGCGGAGTTTCTATTCGGTGAAGACGCTGACAAAATGCAGTCTTCTGACTACCCTGAACGACAATCCAAACATGTTCGCGATGCGGTTTTCCCCCTCGAAATGCAAAATGTTGCTTCAAGACTGGGATGCATCGGCACCTGAACTAGTGATAGGGAGTGAATTAGACGAACGTGTAGACCGCTTCACTTACCTTGGGAGTCTCATCAGTGCTGATAGCCTGGTGACTGACGAAATCTCAGCACGGACGCAGAAGGCTCGATTGGCTTTTGCCAACCTGCGTTACTTATGGCGAAGGCGAGATATCCTTTTTTTGACTAAAGGACGAGTGCACTGCGCAGTAGTTCACTCCTTCCTTTACAGCTGTGAAACATGGCTAGTCAGAGTAGGAGATATTCGTAGGTTACTAGTCTTCGATCATAGGTGTCTTCGAGACATTGCTCGAATATCGTGGGACAGCCGAGTAGCGGGTTCTAGGTAAGGTTGGCAGGTCAGTAGATGAAATATTGATACTTCGTCGGTTGAGGTGGTTGGGATGTGTGTTGTGTATGTCTAACCACCGACTGCCTCGTCGAGCTATATTTTGCGGTATAGGAATAGGTTGGTAGAAAGCTAGGGGCGGCCAGATCAAAACATGGCACAAATCCAAGAAGTCACTTACAAGTGGACTGAGTCATGTCGGTAGGTGTGGACTACCTGGTTGGGGTCTGTGAGACGAAAGTCACCGATGGTTAGAGACCTTGAATGAACTGGCTCAAAATCTTTTGCAATGGCGGAGGTGCATCCACTCCCTGTGTTCTCTCAAATCCCAATCTTCTGGATTCGTCAACACCCTATTTTTCTCTTTCGAAGTTGACCTCACTGAATCATACTTTTTGAATAACATCTTCGAACCCTAATTTCTCCGACTACTTCTAATACTTTTACTACCTCTACTACTGTGGGATTTGAATTGACAATTATAGCTCTGTGCTAATGTTGTATGGTAACTTGAACTGATGTACGTACGTACGGAGTTCTATGTTGTAACTGACTGACTGCCATGAAAATAATACACAGTGTATTGAAAGTTGTTACGTAAGTAGTAAACCAACCGTATGGTTCGCAACATCTAATAAAGAAAATAGAAGCATATCATTTCTACGAGATTTCTAATACTGATTTAAAGGTTCGTAAATCGAAAAATACAAATACCAAAAATAAAATAATTTTCCAAGTAGCTCAGTCTATTTCTAGCTTTTAAATTCCTCCTTATATCAAACAACCTAATAATAAATGTCTGTCAAATATCGTTGAGATAAAATAGAGTTCTTTCGTCGACCGAATTAAGATCTTTCCTAATTTTATGGATCACGGATCAGTCAGTCAGTCGGTTACAACCCAGAAATTATTACGTACCTATATCATTTCAAATTACACAGATGAAATGGTCTATTCAAATCTCATAGTCGTAGAGGGAGTAGAAGTTTTACCGGTAATGAAGAAGATTAGCATTCGAATATATTATTCAAAAGGTATAATCCAGTGAAATAAATTTAAAAAGAGAAATATAAAGATGGTGAGGAATTTAGGAGATTAGAATCTCAGAGAACAAAATGAGCGGATGCACCTGCGCCATCACAAACGATTTTGAGCCATGTCGTTCAAGGTCTCTAACTGTTGGACCCAACCCTGGACCCCAACCAAGTACGTAATCTACACCTACAAACATCGTTCTGTCCACCAGTCAATAACTTCATAGATTTGTGCCATGTTTTGGTTTGATCGCTCCTAGCTTTCTCCCAAACAACTTCTACACCACAAAACATCACTCGTCGACGCAGTTGGTGGTTGGGCATTCGTAACACGTGTCCCAAACACCTCGAATGGTGAAGTTTCACAACTTCATCTACTGATCCGCCATCTTTTCTCAGTACTCGTTTCCTAACAACGATATTGGTTACTCGGTTGTCCCAAGATATACAGGCAATAATTCTAAGACGTCTATGACCGAATACGAGTATTCTACGAATATACTCCACTCTTGCGGGCCAAGTTTCACACCAATATGGTGGGACAGAGTTAACTGCTGCTCAGTGGACTCTTCCTTTGGTTAGCAGACGGAAATCCCACCTACACCATAAGTGATGCAAGTTGAAGAAAGCAAGTCGAGCTTCTGTATCTGTGCTGAGATTTTGTCACACAACAGGCCATCAGCACTGATGAGACTTACAAGATAAGTGAGCCGGTCAACACGCTCAACCGCCTCACTCTCTATCACTAATTCAGGTGCCGATGCAAGCCAATCCTGAAGCAACATTCTCAATATCGACGGGGGCAACTGCATCCCGAGCATGCTTGCATTTTTGCTTAAGGTAGTCAGGAGACACTGCATTTTGTTAGTCTTCACCAAATACAACTATGTCATTGGCATATTCTAACTCGACCAGTGGATCTCCTGTGGAAGGTCAGTTCCTGAAAAGTCAGATGACGGGTGTCGTGTTTAAAAGCATGTCGATGACAAAATCAAACAAGAATGGAGTGGACAACCCTGACGATCACCATTCAAACTAATCAACTCCGAAGACACTTCTCCATGAGCTCTCACTCGACCAGTGGTGTCCAAGTAGAGAGCTTGTATAATATTATTAAAGTACTTCTTTGGTACACCTTTCAGTGACAGGCACTGCCACAGAACCTCGTGATCGACAGAGTCGGATGCCACCTTAAGATCATGGGATGCAGCTGTAGTAGGACGCCGAAATGTGTGCCGGCATTAGGCGTCTAAGCATTATCGAGGCTAACATTTTAGACACTATATTAGTCAAACTGATTCCTCTGGTTTTCACAGGGGGAATTTAGTCCTTTCTTATAAACTGGGACAATCAGTTATTGAGACCAGTCAGATGGAATTACGTTCAGTTCTCAGATTCTATTTAAGATCTTAGGTATGGAAGTAGTTCGTTAATTCTTAATTGCTGACTAAGTTGTATTTGAGTTTGACTCATACAGTTTATGAAGCAAAAGTCAATTGTAAGCTGATAACTACCCCAAACTACACTAGATACTTTGGCATTTAAATTCATGCTTCAAGCACCATGGCACTTACAATTAGAATTTAAAGTAAATTTAATACTATCTTAACATTACTTGAAGGATACGTTACATCATGTTGTTTCATAAATTGCAAGTAAGTGATTAGCCGATGTTTCTAACCTAATTACCAAATCATCGGAAATTTTTACAAACTCATAAAAAGGTGTAAGCACATGACCTGTATTGTTATTGAGCTGTTTACTAAGTATTACAAAACTTTTCTGGTACCACAGTCGGAAAGATTTTGTAGATTGAAATTTTCATGTAAAATAAAGTGTTTTTTATTTATGAGTTGATCCAAATAGTTTACTTATTTACGAAAATCAGCAGACATTGCTTACGTGTACCAGACGTCTATTCATATAGTTTTACTTACCTGTAGGAAAGTGAATAGCTTAGTTTCACTGAACTAATTCCCATTTTAATAACTGTTAATATTCAGCCATAACTTAATAATTATTTTCGGAACCAAGTGATTAGAAATAAGTTTGGAGTACTGGTTTAACTACTAGCTTTCGAGTTTTGTACATAAACAGACTGTATTCCTCGAGTTAGATTATTAACGTCACGCTAATTATCCAATGAATAATTCTCTGTTTATTTCAGGTACCTCGTGATGTGCTAACTAAATCTAGTTTGTATTTTTCTGCTGCTTTTGAGAGCGGAATGACTGAAAGTAAAACTAGCCAGTTTAGTTTTCCTAATTTCACTGCTCACCAGTTAGCTATGGTTGTGCAATTTTTACGACCAGAATTAACTACTCGGAGTGATGCTTTAAACAACCACACCAACATTTTAAACAACTCCTGTCCAGAGATATTGAAAATTTTGGAAGCTTTGGATCTGGCTGATGCAGCAGATTACTTTCAAATGCCCAAACTTATTCAAACTTGTGTGCAGAGAATATCTCATATCATGAACGAGTTATTTCAACCTAAATCCATTCAACTTCATGAATCACATAACTGTGATATATTTTCAATAATATTAAAAGAGTTTGCGAAAGTGTTCCATCGTGAAAATTGTTGTGTTAATAAATTATTCTCTGAATACACTCTCAGATATCCTCATTTTATCCTCAGACCCTGCCTTTCAGATCCAAACTTACAGCATCTTCTGATCAATCTGGTTATCAGTTATTTGTCGAAAAGTGTCTTATGCATACCAGACGAAGATATAGTTTTAAATATTGTTCTTAGCTGGTTACGGATATTGAAACCAACCCAATTCTATACAGAAAATACCGTCCAGTGCTTTTTGCAATGCGTTCGTCCAGGCCTCCTTTCACTAGATGGTCAAGTAAAGCTATTAGACTATTGGCGCAAACAACATCCTGAGTTAAGGTGGTTTGGAAAGCTGACATGTGAAGATATGGAGGTGTTTTTTAAAACTATTCCAAATGGAGGGATTTTTTACAAATCTCCGTTAGCTTCTCAACTCCAGGTTTTGTTACTAAAGCCTAGAGCTGAATCTCTGTGTTTACTTGGGTTAGCTCCTAGTCGTTCTAGCAACTCATTAGAATTTTGGCTTTTCAATCTTCACAATGGAGCATATCATAACTATCCTATACTTGATAATTGCCTACGTGAACTCGGCCTGGACTCTTCTGGTGTTGGCGACATAGATCATCGTATTTACTTTTGCCCAGTAACATACGGACCTAGTTCTTATCAAAGTAATTTGTTCGTTATGTGTTTCGATCCAAACAATGCAAGGCTAAGCGGCTTCGCTTGGTGTCTGGCTTCTTGTCGTGCGAAACTCATCCCTCGTTTGCTTCTTTCTCCCACAAACAACAGAAACAGCAGTGTCAATCCCTTCTGCTCCCGATCCAGACGTATTGGTCTAACTACACTGTCCAATGGTCTGTACATGTATTATCTGTCTTCTATACAAGAGGTTACATGGTTGTGTGCATTTCGGTTTGATCTGAGTTCTTGGAACTGGTATGGTATGGAACCTTATTGTTTGTCTAGGAGCCAGAACGGAATTGTGCTATTTACACCGATTGAACAGTTGAATCCCATCCCACCTGATGACTGGGTATATGCTAATATTGAGACAGTTTCTTCTTCAAATAATTCCAGACATCCACGTCATGGACTCCATCAAACTTCGTCGCTTCGATCACAGTTTTTTCGATTTCGTCCGCGATCTGACAAAAATGCCCTAATTGTTGAGAATTTGCCTAATCCACCCTTCCTCATCAGAATGTACCGTTTATTGGCTATCAGTTGTTCTGTAGAAAGTAACTTTAGTGGTAAGTCCCTGTGATTATCAAGTATTATTCCCACTCATCTATTTTAGATTATCTAGATTCTCTCCACTAATGTATGGGCCTTCAAAATATTGCTAGATGATAGCTTTCACCCTACAAAAAATAGGTTCAAATACATTTTACGGTTATTTGTCTTCCTTTCTGTTGTGCTGTTATCGACCTTCAACATTAGTTTTCCTGTGAGATGCTTTCATTCATGTACACATTCATTTTAGGTTTTTAAAGCTGCTACTGAATAGATTATGTAAGATTATATACTTAATTGTTACACAAATTACCCATAATTCATTGGTAAGTCGTTATCTGACGACATATATGCACTCCATAGTACTGATATGATTTGTTTTCTAAGCAGAAGTTAATGAAACATTATCACAGAATGCTGCCAATTTAAACGCATTAGTAACTTCTGGGAGCTGCCTCAGTTCATGCAGACCACTAATTACAGTTTTACCTAACGATATACGGAGGGACTTTAAACACTTGGCTATTGTTTTAGAAAATTTGACCATACTTTTCCTACATCAATGACCAATTAATACCAATCTATTTCAAATAGCAGAAATCCAGATGCGATTCCTTCTGCAGTTCGAACCCCACACCCGCTAAAATAAGCAAGATTTTGATCGGGTATCTGATGCATCTTTCTGAAAATTTATATCAAATGGAATTTTCCATTACTTTTAATAATGTACTAATCTCCAAAATGGTCTATTTCATACATATGATAGATATCAAGTAATTTTCTATCAATCTCATTTCAAATATTAACGATCGTTATGTCGCTTACATACTGTGCAAATCACATAAAAAGTATTAACTTTCATGGAACAAACTGGTTTCTATTCAGGTTATGAATACGCTAAGCCAATTTTCACTTTCCCAATATTTGACCCTTGTCACACCCGTTCCAAGCTAATAATCGTACTGTACTTGAATTATCTGTCGAACAGAAATGTTTCTGGGGCTTTCTAGCATTCTTTAAGCTTTAAAATAAGGTATCCCTGCCGAAATGAGGATATAAATTATCTCTCTGCATTGTCCCCGACGTTGGTGTTGGAAAGCGATACCGACTCCCTTGAGTCCACCTTAGTTTTCTTCATAAATGATATGCTAAAAGTGGCTCTAAAAATGTTATATTTTGATAAAATATGTGTTTTAGATAAGACGTATTTATTTCCTATGGGAACTTGCTCTCGTGATCTGGAGGCTACACACTATTGCTTTGATACATTCTCTTGCCAATGGCTCCGATGGAAACCAGCTCAGACGTTGGATATCGATGAGTTGAATCCCATCAGACAACATACTTCAGAAGATATTGAGCTAACGTTTAATCTGTGTCCTAAAATTCTTGGTTTTCGTGGTCTTGTTTGCGCTACCCACCTTTTGAATGCATTAGACGGAAACAAGTCATTATCATCTCTGGAAGTTTACGATAATAACCCTGATGCTATTGAATCAAGCTATCATTCACATTCCTCGTCTATAGATGCTTCCAGCGGCAGTGAAAGCTCTAATCATAAAAATAAATTTACGACTTTGTTGGTTTTGGCCGGTAGACCGGATGAGAATAAACATGTGACATCGGGGATTTGGTTTCATTATCCTCAGTACTGTAATAGCTTAAACGAAACAACTGCACTATTCAATTCTCAAAAGCCGGATTATTTTCTACCAACTGCAATCGCTCAAACCCTAGGACAATACCTTTCCCCAACAGCAGTTGTATTGGCTAACTGGACACATATTATACAATCCGTAAATCCCATCACTTTCTTAAATAATTCTTCTAAACAAGAAAATTATGAGCTAAACAAATCTTCACAGATTTATGAAAACGTTTCCGAAAATTCCAACTGGTCTTGGGATAGTGACTAAACGACAAATTTCTTATGTAATTAGAAGTGACTTAATCTGTAATTGCATTTTTTTGAACTGAATATTGGTTAGTGCAATATGCATAAAAATTATTGTAATTATTACTGCACAGATTTACTAATTGCCCTTTACCACGTTTATTACCACTGTTGCATTTATTTTCTAATTTCAAGAGTTAACTTATATATTTTTCAATGTGCGTTACATTGATTATTGCATAGATTTTATGCAAGTGCCTTGATTTCCAGATTGAAAACTCTCAGTCAATATTCTTATAACATCCTATTTTATTTACCTTCCATATAATGTTACTCATACGTGAAACTTCTTCTGTGTTCTACGTGATCTTTTTTCTGTATGTATGCCTCATTTAGGCAGAGATCGTTATTACTGTACAACCCTTCTATTTGCGTTATCATTTGTAGTTATTTCCTAAGTAGATTTGATTTGTACATTATTTTACAAAAATAATCTTCGAATCATTGAATTGTAATATATTTGACAAACCGGTTGATACAGTAATATTAAAGGCTACCCTAATAATAAAAAGTAATGGAAACTGTGTTTGATTGAATTAGTGTTATTAGTGAATGAACACCAGCAATAAACTCTTCCTTTATTATCGTAAATTTAGAGCAACGCTGGTTCTTGAGCTACTATTAACCGTATTAGAAATAAAATAGCACTGGTATGGAAGTGTAAAGTTACTGTATTTGAACTATAATCTTGATTTGTAATGCAATGAAATAAATCCAGAATCAAATTAGACAGGTATAATCTACGTTGAAGGATGGTGTACTAAAGTGTAGTAATCAAAATATTTTAAATAATAAAGTGGATCAACAATAGAATGAGATTACTAAGTACATGGACAGACAAGCGAAGTTATAATGAGGCTGAATGCAGGTAAGAGTTCAGGGATTACACAAATAGTTAACCGATAAGATCGGAGTAATGTATTTGACAGTTACATGCTTCGTCAGATCTTGAAAATCGCTTTGAAATGGCGTTTCGCAATGATAAAAATGTTTTCCATGGATGTGGAAATGTAGGCCTGACAAGCAAGCTGGAAGTATATTTAATTACAAATGGTAAATAAGAACCACCATGTAGTGAAGACAATTAAGTTTAGCGTCATAGTCAACATGGATCTATTTTTTTATAATTAATATAAAGCCTAGCACAAGGGATTGTTACTCCGAGCTGCCACACCACATCAGTCAGTCAGTTGCAACGTAGAACTTCGTACGTATGTACATAAGTTCATGTTGCCATACCACATTATTAGCACAGAGACGCAAATGTCAAATCAAATCCCATAGTGATAAAGATAGTAGAGGTATTAATGTTATAATAAAGAAGACTAGGGTTTAAGATATTATTCAAAAAATATAATTCGGTGAGATAAGGTTAGAAAGACAAAGGCAGAGGTTGTAGTGCCTCCACATATATTTCACTTCTCTCACATCTAACTTGGTTAAGCCTTTCGATTAATTTAGTTAACCAAGCCATTCGCCTAGCAACAACTTGTATGTACCATTGTTATTTTTTATTATCTGCTTTGTATGAGCTTATACGACTGAGCATTGCTTACGCTTACGCACTTACTCATCCTTTTCGCTTTAATGTTAATCTCTTAATTTTCCCATGAACTCACATGATTTGTATCGCTTGCATTTGACCTTGTCAATCATTCGTCGCTTTTATTCATGTGTGTGCATATCTATTTCGCTTGTCATATGTCTGTCTTATTTTTATCTGACTATATATTCTTAGTCATACTCTATCTCTTTGAGTTGGCTCGCTAGCCTTCTCCAATTCGCTTCGCCCATTCGCATATTCGCTCGCTAGTGTATCTGCTCGGTCTGTATGTGGTGTGCCTCGAATAAATGTATACGATACTTGGAGTTAATCTTCTGATTTATAAATCGAGCTATAAGAACACGCAGCCATCGGGCACACTACATCTGGTTAGCCCGCCGTTGAATCTAACGTACGCATCACAAAGCTGCCGGACGTTCTCAGGATGTTTCCTGATGCTGACGAAAAATCGAACGCTTCCAATTAATTGGTAATTTCGACGTAGAATCGAATGCAATCATTCTTCCGTGCATTTGCTCGCCAGTGCACTACGAAATGGTTATCCCGACGTCAGCGAAATCGGCCACCATACAAAATGTTGAACCCGTCGTTCATTCATATCACTCCCTATTTGCTTCGCTCGATTCATTCGTCCATACGTCTTCACAGAAGATCAGTAAACTCTCACTACATAATTCGACGATTCCGATGACAAATCGAATATAACCAACCAGTTGGTAATTTCGAGGACAAATCGAACAGAACCGCTAACTGGAAATCCCGACGCCATTCAGCGACAAAGCAGCTCTCCTACTTAATGCATTAGCTGAACGAATCAAGCATTATCTTATCGTCATTTTGATTATGTACCAACCTGTCGCATTAATCTATTTCTCGAATTATCCAATTATCGCTATCATTATCGTATTAATGTGAAAGAACCATTATTATGATTAATCATGATATTATGACAATAATGGAATTATCTTAATCGCTAATCGAATCGCATTTCGAATATTCTGTTCATGGCAGGACATTTGTAACTCACGGAATTATTTTACTTCTTGCGACAACACGAACGACTTTTCTACTTCAGCAACGGCTCAATGACAATTATTATTCATTAATATTTCCGTGGCTATACGATTATCGCATTGGAGATATTTTCGATGTACTCATCAGCTGCTCGTACTCGAAAATCTTGCAGCCTGCTAAGTAAATTGGTGGTATGATCTTACGCACATGCACACGAAGCAGCAGTTCAAGCAGTCGAGCGAACCTCCTGCACGCTGATATTCGCATGTTTTCGACTACCCCAACGCTGGCAACGGTTTGCAACGCTATCACACACATAAGTTTGGAGTCATATACTCAATGATAATAACTTATGTTCTCGATATGCATGTAATGTTCATGCATCGCATTTGTACGCAGCTTTATTCTCCAAATTTTTTCACGATAATCTCGACCGCAATTTCTTCACCAATCCGCAGCCACTCGATTTATCGATGAGCCTTACCGTAATGTCTATGCGATTATCGAATTCCGTCTTAACTGTCATGCCTAAACGATATTAAATATTTTGCAGCATTTGTATTACATTTTCGTACCGTACAACTGCTCCTAATGTATTCTATTCGAAATCGATTGTTTTTGCTAATAACCGCTTACTACATATTTTTGATATTCTGTTACTATGCGAACTTACGAACGTACTCGAACAAGGTAACTTTAATTTTCGTACCTTTCGATGTTTTCCGACGATTTTGATTTTTTTTCTCGCAAACAAAGACATTTTCGTAACCTTGTTTGCTGGAAGGGGGCTATTGTAGTGCCTCCACATATATTTCACTTCTCTCACATCTAACTTGGTTAAGCCTTTCGATTAATTTAGTTAACCAAGCCATTCGCCTAGCAACAACTTGTATGTACCATTGTTATTTTTTATTATCTGGTTTGTATGAGCTTATACGACTGAGCATTGCTTACGCTTACGCACTTACTCATCCTTTTCGCTTTAATGTTAATCTCTTAATTTTCCCATGAACTCACATGATTTGTATCGCTTGCATTTGACCTTGTCAATCATTCGTCGCTTTTATTCATGTGTGTGCATATCTATTTCGCTTGTCATATGTCTGTCTTATTTTTATCTGACTATATATTCTTAGTCATACTCTATCTCTTTGAGTTGGCTCGCTAGCCTTCTCCAATTCGCTTCGCCCATTCGC